GGGAGAATGGGGCGGGGTGATGGAAAGCGGGAGAATGGGGCGGGGTGATGGAAAGCGGGAGAATGGGCGGGGTGATGGAAAGCGGGAGAATGGGGGCGGGGTGATGGAAAGCGAGAATGGGGCGGGGTGATGGAAAGCGGGAAATGGGGCGGGGTGATGGAAAGCGGGAGAATGGGGCGGGGTGATGGAAAGCGGGAGAATGGGGCGGGGTGATGGAAAGCGGGAGAATGGGGCGGGGTGATGGAAAGCGGGAGAATGGGGCGGGGTGATGGAAAGCGGGAGAATGGGGCGGGGTGATGGAAGGCGGGAGAATGGGGCGGGGTGATGGAAGGAGGGAGAATGGGGCGGGGTGATGGAAAGCGGGAGAATGGGGCGGGGTGATGGAAAGCGGGAGAATGGGGCGGGGTGATGGGAAACGGGGAGAATGGGGCGGGGTGATGGAAAGCGGGAGAATGGGCGGGGTGATGGAAAGCGGAGAATGGGGCGGGGTGATGAAGGAGGGAGAATGGGGCGGGTGATGGAAAGAGGGAGAATGGGGCGGGGTGATGGAAAGCGGGAGAATGGGGCGGGGTGATGGAAAGCGGGAGAATGGGGGCGGGGTGATGGAAAGCGGGAGAATGGGGCGGGGTGATGGAAACGGGAGAATGGGGCGGGGTGATGGAAGGAGGGAGAATGGGGCGGGGGGTGATGGAAAGAGGGAGAATGGGGCGGGGTGATGGAAAGCGGGAGAATGGGGCGGGGTGATGGAAAGCGGGAGAATGGGGCGGGGTGATGGAAAGCGGGAGAATGGGGCGGGGTGATGGAAGCGGGAGAATGGGGCGGGGTGATGGAAAGCGGGAGAATGGGGCGGGTGATGGAAGGAGGGAGAATGGGGCGGGGTGATGGAAAGAGGGAGAATGGGCGGGGTGATGGAAAGCGGAGAATGGGGCGGGGTGATGGAAAGCGGAGAATGGGGCGGGGTGATGGAAAGCGGGAGAATGGGGCGGGGTGTGATGGAAGAGGGGAGAATGGGGGGGGTGATGGAAGGAGGGAGAAATGGGGCGGGGTGATGGAAAGCGGGAGAATGGGGCGGGGTGATGGAAAGCGGGAGAATGGGGCGGGGGTGATGGAAAGCGGGAGAATGGGGCGGGGTGATGGAAAGCGGGAGAATGGGCGGGGTGATGGAAAGCGGGAGAATGGGGCGGGGTGATGGAAGGAGGGAGAATGGGGCGGGGTGATGGAAAGCGGGAGAATGGGGCGGGGTGATGGAAAGCGGGAGAATGGGGCGGGGTGATGGAAAGCGGGAGAATGGGGCGGGGTGATGGAAAGCGGGAGAATGGGGCGGGGTGATGGAAAGCGGGAGAATGGGGCGGGGTGATGGAAGCGAGAGAATGGGGCGGGGTGATGGAAGGAGGGAGAATGGGCGGGGTGATGGAAAGCGGGAGAATGGGGCGGGGTGATGGAAAGCGGAGGAGAATGGGCGGGGTGATGGAAAGCGGGAGAATGGGGCGGGGTGATGGAAGCGGGAGAATGGGGCGGGGTGATGGAAGGGAGGGAGAATGGCGGGGTGATGGAAAGAGGGAGAATGGGGCGGGGTGATGGAAAGCGGGAGAATGGGCGGGGTGATGGAAAGCGGGAGAATGGGGCGGGGTGATGGAAAGCGGGAGAATGGGGCGGGGTGATGGAAAGGGAGAATGGGGCGGGGTGATGGAAAGCGGGAGAATGGGGCGGGGTGATGGAAAGCGGGAGAATGGGGCGGGGTGATGGAAAGCGGAGGGGAATGGGGCGGGGTGATGGAAAGCGGGAGAATGGGGCGGGGTGATGGAAAAGGGAGAATGGGGCGGGGTGATGGAAAGCGGGAGAATGGGGCGGGGTGATGGAAAGCGGAGAATGGGGCGGGGTGATGGAAAGCGGGAGAATGGGGCGGGGGTGATGGAAGCGGGAAGAATGGGGCGGGGTGATGGAAAGCGGGAGAATGGGCGGGGTGATGGAAAGCGGGAGAATGGGGCGGGGTGATGGAAAGCGGGAGAATGGGGCGGGGTGATGAAAAGCGGGAGAATGGGGCGGGGTGATGGAAAGCGGGAGAATGGGGCGGGGTGATGAAGGAGGGAGAATGGGGCGGGGTGATGGAAAGGAGGGAGAATGGGGCGGGGTGATGGAAAGCGGGAGAATGGGGCGGGGTGATGGAAAGCGGGAGAATGGGGCGGGGTGATGGAAAGGGCGGGAGAATGGGGCGGGGTGATGGAAGGAGGGAGAATGGGGCGGGGTGATGGAAAGCGGGAGAATGGGGCGGGGTGATGGAAAGCGGGAGAATGGGGCGGGGTGATGGAAAGCGGAGAATGGGCGGGGGTGATGGAAAGCGGGAGAATGGCGGGGTGATGGAAAGCGGGAGAATGGGGCGGGGTGATGGAAGGAGGGAGAATGGGGCGGGGTGATGGAAAGCGGAGAATGGGGCGGGGTGATGGAAAGCGGGAGAATGGGGCGGGGTGATGGAAAGCGGGGGAGAATGGGGCGGGGTGATGGAAAGCGGGAGAATGGGGCGGGGTGATGGAAAGCGGGAGAATGGGGCGGGGTGATGGAAAGCGGGAGAATGGGGCGGGGTGATGGAAAGCGGGAGAATGGGGCGGGGTGATGGAAAGCGGGAGAATGGGGCGGGGTGTGATGGAAAGCGGGAGAATGGGGCGGGGTGATGGAAAGCGGGAGAATGGGGCGGGGTGATGGAAAGCGGGAGAGAATGGGCGGGGAGGGGTGATGGAAAGCGGGAGAATGGGGCGGGGTGATGGAAAGCGGGAGAATGGGCGGGGTGATGGAAAGCGGGAGAATGGGGCGGGTGATGGAAAGCGGGAGAATGGGGCGGGGTGATGGAAAGCGGGAGAATGGGGCGGGGTGATGGAAAGAGGGAGAATGGGGCGGGTGATGGAAAGCGGGAGAATGGGGCGGGGTGATGGAAAGCGGGAGAATGGGGGGGGTGATGGAAAGCGGGAGAATGGGGCGGGTGATGGAAAGCGGGAGAATGGGGCGGGGTGATGGAAAGCGGGAGAATGGGGCGGGTGATGGAAAGCGGGAGAATGGGGCGGGGTGATGGAAAGGCGGGAGAATGGGTGGGTGATGGAAAGCGGGAGAATGGGGCGGGTGATGGAAAGCGGGAGAATGGGGCGGGGTGATGGAAAGCGGGAGAATGGGGCGGGGTGATGGAAAGCGGGAGAATGGGGCGGGGTGATGGAAAGAGGGAGAATGGGGCGGGGTGATGGAAAGCGGGAGAATGGGGCGGGGTGATGGAAAGCGGGAGAATGGGGCGGGGTGATGGAAAGCGGGAGAATGGGGCGGGGTGATGGAAAGCGGGAGAATGGGGCGGGGTGATGGAAAAGCGGAGAATGGGGCGGGGTGATGGAAAGCGGGAGAATGGGGCGGGGTGATGGAAAGGAGGAGAATGGGGCGGGGTGATGGAAAGGAGGGAAATGGGCGGGGTGATGGAAAGCGGGAGAATGGGGCGGGGTGATGGAAAGCGGGAGAATGGGCGGGGGGTGATGGAAAGCGGGAGAATGGGGCGGGTTGATGGAAAGCGGGAGAATGGGGCGGGGTGATGGAAAGCGGGAGAATGGGGCGGGGTGTGTGAGAAGCGGGAGAATGGGGGGGGGGGCGGCGGTGGTGGATGAAACGGAGAGAATGGGGCGGGTGATGGAAAGCGGGGAGAATGGTGATGGAAAGCGGGAGAATGGGGCGGGGTGATGGAAAGCGGAGAATGGGGCGGGGTGATGGAAAGCGGGAGAATGGGGCGGGGTGATGGAAAGCGGGAGAATGGGGCGGGGTGATGGAAAGCGGGAGAATGGGGCGGGGTGATGGAAAGCGGGAGAATGGGGCGGGGTGATGGAAAGCGGGAGAATGGGGCGGGGTGATGGAAGCGGGAGAATGGGGCGGGGTGATGGAAAGCGGGAGAATGGGCGGGGTGATGGAAAGCGGGAGAATGGGGCGGGGTGATGGAAAGCGGGAGAATGGGGCGGGGTGATGGAAAGCGGGAGAATGGGGCGGGGTGATGGAAAGCGGGAGAATGGGGCGGGGTGATGGAAAGCGGGAGAATGGGGCGGGGTGATGGAAAGGGGAGAATGGGGCGGGGGTGATGGAAAGAGGGAGAATGGGGCGGGGGATGGAAAGCGGGAGAATGGGGGGGGGTGATGGAAGCGGGAGAATGGGGCGGGGTGATGGAAAGCGGGAGAATGGGGCGGGGTGATGGAAAGCGGGAGAATGGGGCGGGGTGATGGAAAGCGGGAGAATGGGGCGGGGTGATGAAAGCAGGGAGAATGGGGCGGGGTGATGGAAAGCGGGAGAATGGGGCGGGGTGATGGAAAGCGGGAGAATGGGGCGGGTGATGGAAGCGGGAGAATGGGGCGGGGTGATGGAAGAGGGAGAATGGGGCGGGGTGATGGAAAGCGGGAGAATGGGGCGGGGTGATGGAAAGCGGGAGAATGGGGCGGGGTGATGGAAAGCGGGAGAATGGGGCGGGGTGATGGAAAGCGGGAGAATGGGGCGGGGTGATGGAAAGCGGGAGAATGGGGCGGGGTGATGGAAAGCGGGAGAATGGGGCGGGGTGATGGAAAGCGGGAGAATGGGGCGGGTGATGGAAAGCGGGAGAATGGGGCGGGGTGATGAAAGCGGGAGAATGGGGCGGGGTGATGGAAAGCGGGAGAATGGGGCGGGTGATGGAAAGCGAGAGAATGGGGCGGGGTGATGGAAAGCGGGAGAATGGGGCGGGGTGATGGAAAGCGGGAGAATGGGGCGGGGTGATGGAAAGGGGGAGAATGGGGCGGGGTGATGGAAAGAGGGAGAATGGGGCGGGGTGATGGAAAGCGGGAGAATGGGGCGGGGTGATGGAAAGCGGGAGAATGGGGCGGGGTGATGGAAAGCGGGAGAATGGGGCGGGGTGATGGAAAGCGGGAGAATGGGGCGGGGTGATGGAAAGCGGGAGAATGGGGCGGGGGTGATGGAAAGCGGGAGAATGGGGCGGGGTGATGGAAAGCGGGAGAATGGGGCGGGGTGATGGAAAGCGGGAGAATGGGGCGGGTGTGATGGAGGAGGGAGAATGGGGCGGGGTGATGGAAAGCGGGAGAATGGGCGGGGTGATGGAAAGCGGGAGAATGGGGCGGGGTGATGGAAAGCGAGAGAATGGGCGGGGTGATGGAAAGCGGGAGAATGGGGCGGGGTGATGGAAAGCGGGAGAATGGGGCGGGGTGATGGAAAGCGGGAGAATGGGGCGGGGTGATGGAAAGCGGGAGAATGGGGCGGGGTGATGGAAAGCGGGAGAATGGGGCGGGGTGATGGAAAGCGGAGAATGGGCGGGGTGATGGAAAGCGGGAGAATGGGGCGGGGTGATGGAAAGCGGGAGAATGGGGCGGGGTGATGGAAAGCGGGAGAATGGGGCGGGGTGATGGAAAGCGGGAGAATGGGGCGGGGTGATGGAAAGCGGGAGAATGGGGCGGGGTGATGGAAAGCGGGAGAATGGGGCGGGGTGATGGAAAAGCGGGAGAATGGGGCGGGGTGATGGAAAGCGGGAGAATGGGGCGGGGATGGATGGGAAAGCGGGAGAATGGGGCGGGGTGATGGAAGGAAGGGGAGAATGGGGCGGGGTGATGGAAAGCGGGAGAGGGGGCGGGGTGATGGAAAGCGGGAGAATGGGGCGGGGTGATGGAAAGCGGGAGAATGGGGCGGGTGATGGAAAGCGGGAGAATGGGGCGGGGTGATGGAAAGCGGGAGAATGGGGCGGGGTGATGGAAAGCGGGAGAATGGGGCGGGGTGATGGAAAGCGGGAGAATGGGGCGGGGTGATGGAAAGCGGGAGAATGGGGCGGGGTGATGGAAAGCGGGAGAATGGGGCGGGGTGATGGAAAGCGGGAGAATGGGGCGGGGTGATGGAAGCGGGAGAATGGGGCGGGGTGATGGAAAGCGGGAGAATGGGGCGGGGTGATGGAAAGCGGGAGAATGGGGCGGGGTGATGGAAAGCGGGAGAATGGGGCGGGGTGATGGAAAGCGGGAGAATGGGGCGGGGTGATGGAAAGCGGGAGAATGGGGCGGGGTGATGGAAAGCGGAGAATGGGGCGGGGTGATGGAAAGCGGGAGAATGGGGCGGGGTGATGGAAAGCGGGAGAATGGGGCGGGGTGATGGAAAGCGGGAGAATGGGGCGGGGTGATGGAAAGCGGGAGAATGGGGCGGGGTGATGGAAAGCGGGAGAATGGGGCGGGGTGATGGAAAGCGGGAGAATGGGGCGGGGTGATGGAAAGCGGGAGAATGGGGGGGTGATGGAAAGCGGGAGAATGGGGCGGGGTGATGGAAGGAGGGAGAATGGGGCGGGGTGATGGAAAGCGGGAGAATGGGGCGGGGTGATGGAAAGCGGGAGAATGGGGCGGGGTGATGGAAAGCGGGAGAATGGGGCGGGGTGATGGAAAGCGGGAGAATGGGCGGGGTGATGGAAAGCGGGAGAATGGGGCGGGGTGATGGAAAGCGGGAGAATGGGGCGGGGTGATGGAAAGCGGGAGAATGGGGCGGGGTGATGGAAAGCGGGAGAATGGGGCGGGGTGATGGAAAGCGGGAGAATGGGGCGGGGTGATGGAAAGCGGGAGAATGGGGCGGGTGATGGAAAGCGGGAGAATGGGGCGGGGTGATGGAAAGCGGGAGAATGGGGCGGGGTGATGGAAAGGAGGGAGAATGGGGGGGTGATGGAAGATGGAAAGAGGGAGAATGGGGAGCGGGGGTGCGGCGGATGGAAAGCGGGAGAATGGGGCGGGGTGATGGAAAGCGGGAGAATGGGGCGGGGTGATGGAAAGCGGGAGAATGGGGCGGGGTGATGGAAAGCGGGAGAATGGGGCGGGGGTGATGGAAAGCGGGAGAATGGGGCGGGGTGATGGAAGGCGGAGAATGGGGCGGGGTGATGGAAGGCGGGAGAATGGGGCGGGGTGATGGAAAGCGGAGAATGGGGCGGGGTGATGGAAAGCGGGAGAATGGGGCGGGGTGATGGAAAGCGGGAGAATGGGGCGGGGTGATGGAAAGCGGGAGAATGGGGCGGGGTGATGGAAGGAGGGAGAATGGGGCGGGGTGATGGAAGGGGAGAATGGGGCGGGGTGATGGAAAGCGGGAGAATGGGGCGGGGTGATGGAAAGCGGGAGAATGGGGCGGGTGATGGAAAGCGGGAGAATGGGGCGGGGTGATGGAAAGCGGGAGAATGGGGCGGGGTGATGGAAAGCGGGAGAATGGGGCGGGTGATGGAAAGAGGGGAGAATGGGGCGGGGTGATGGAGGAGGGAGAATGGGGCGGGGTGATGGAAAGCGGGAGAATGGGGCGGGGTGATGGAAAGCGGGAGAATGGGGCGGGGTGATGGAAAGCGGGAGAATGGGGCGGGGTGATGGAAAGCGGGAGAATGGGCGGGTGATGGAAAGCGGGAGAATGGGGCGGGGTGATGGAAAGCGGGAGAATGGGGCGGGGTGATGGAAAGCGGGAGAATGGGGCGGGTGATGGAAAGCGGGAGAATGGGGCGGGGTGATGGAGGAGGGAGAATGGGGCGGGGTGATGGAAGGAGGGAGAATGGGGCGGGGTGATGGAAAGCGGGAGAATGGGGCGGGTGATGGAAAGCGGGAGAATGGGGCGGGGTGATGGAAAGCGGGAGAATGGGGCGGGGTGATGGAAAGCGGGAGAATGGGGCGGGGTGATGGAAAGCGGGAGAATGGGGCGGGTGATGGAAAGAGGAGAATGGGGCGGGGTGATGGAAGCGGGAGAATGGGGCGGGGTGATGGAAAGCGGGAGAATGGGGCGGGTGATGGAAGCGGGAGAATGGGGCGGGGTGATGGAAAGCGGGAGAATGGGGCGGGGTGATGGAAAGCGGGAGAATGGGGCGGGGTGATGGAAAGGGGAGAATGGGGCGGGGTGATGGAAGGAGGGAGAATGGGGCGGGGTGATGGAAAGCGGGAGAATGGGGCGGGGTGATGGAAAGCGGGAGAATGGGGCGGGGTGATGGAAAGCGGGAGAATGGGGCGGGGTGATGGAAAGCGGGAGAATGGGGCGGGGTGATGGAAAGCGGGAGAATGGGGCGGGGTGATGGAAAGCGGGAGAATGGGGCGGGGTGATGGAAAGCGGGAGAATGGGGGGGGTGATGGAAAGCGGGAGAATGGGGCGGGGTGATGGAAAGCGGGAGAATGGGGCGGGGTGATGGAAAGCGGGAGAATGGGGCGGGGTGATGGAAAGCGGGAGAATGGGGCGGGGTGATGGAAAGAGGGAGAATGGGGCGGGGTGATGGAAAGCGGGAGAATGGGGCGGGGTGATGGAAAGCGGGAGAATGGGGCGGGGTGATGGAAAGCGGGAGAATGGGGCGGGGTGATGGAAAGCGGAGAATGGGGCGGGGTGATGGAAAGCGGGAGAATGGGGCGGGGTGATGGAAAGCGGGAGAATGGGGGGGTGATGGAAGGAGGGAGAATGGGGCGGGGTGATGGAAGGAGGGAGAATGGGGCGGGGTGATGGAAAGCGGGAGAATGGGGCGGGGTGATGGAAAGCGGGAGAATGGGGCGGGGTGATGGAAAGCGGGAGAATGGGGCGGGGTGATGGAAGCGGGAGAATGGGGCGGGGTGATGGAAAGCGGGAGAATGGGGCGGGGTGATGGAAAGCGGGAGAATGGGGCGGGGTGATGGAAAGCGGGAGAATGGGGCGGGGTGATGGAAAGCGGGAGAATGGGGCGGGGTGATGGAAAGCGGAGAATGGGGCGGGGTGATGGAAAGCGGGAGAATGGGGCGGGGTGATGGAAAGCGGGAGAATGGGGCGGGGTGATGGAAAGCGGGAGAATGGGGCGGGGTGATGGAAAGCGGGAGAATGGGGCGGGTGATGGAAAGCGGGAGAATGGGGCGGGGTGATGGAAGCGGGAGAATGGGGCGGGGTGATGGAAAGCGGGAGAATGGGGCGGGGTGATGGAAAGCGGGAGAATGGGGCGGGGTGATGGAAAGCGGGAGAATGGGGCGGGGTGATGGAAAGCGGGAGAATGGGGCGGGGTGATGGAAAGCGGGAGAATGGGGCGGGGTGATGGAAAGCGGGAGAATGGGGCGGGGTGATGGAAAGCGGGAGATGGGGCGGGGTGATGGAAAGCGGGAGAATGGGGCGGGGTGATGGAAAGCGGGAGAATGGGGCGGGGGTGATGGAAAGCGGGAGAATGGGGCGGGGTGATGGAAAGCGGGAGAATGGGGCGGGGTGATGGAAAGCGGGAGAAGGGGCGGGGGTGATGGAAAGCGGGAGAATGGGGCGGGGTGATGGAAAGCGGGAGAATGGGGCGGGGTGATGGAAAGCGGGAGAATGGGGCGGGGTGATGGAAAGCGGGAGAATGGGGCGGGGTGATGGAAGCGGGAGAATGGGGCGGGGTGATGGAAAGCGGGAGAATGGGGCGGGGTGATGAAAGCGGGAGAATGGGGCGGGGTGATGGAAAGAGGGAGAATGGGGCGGGGTGATGGAAAGCGGGAGAATGGGAATGGGGCGGGGTGATGGAAAGCGGGAGAATGGGGCGGGGTGATGGAAAGCGGGAGAATGGGGCGGGGTGATGGAAAGCGGGAGAATGGGCGGGGTGATGGAAAGGAAGCGGGAGAATGGGGCGGGGTGATGGAAAGCGGGAGAATGGGGCGGGGTGATGGAAAGCGGAGAATGGGGCGGGGTGATGGAAGGAGGGAGAATGGGGCGGGTGATGGAAAGCGGGGAGAATGGGGCGGGGTGATGGAAAGCGGGAGAATGGGGCGGTGATGGAAAGCGGGAGAATGGGCGGGTGATGGAAAGCGGGAGAATGGGGCGGGGTGATGGAAAGCGGGAGAATGGGGCGGGGTGATGGAAAGCGGGAGAATGGGGCGGGGTGATGGAAAGAGGGAAATGGGGCGGGGTGATGGAAAGCGGGAGAATGGGGCGGGGTGATGGAAAGCGGGAGAATGGGGCGGGGTGATGGAAGGCGGGAGAATGGGGCGGGGTGATGGAAAGCGGGAGAATGGGGCGGGGTGATGGAAAGCGGGAGAATGGGGCGGGGTGATGGAAAGCGGGAGAATGGGGCGGGGTGATGGAAAGCGGGAGAATGGGGCGGGGTGATGGAAAGCGGGAGAATGGGGCGGGGTGATGGAAAGCGGGAGAATGGGGCGGGTGATGGAAAGCGGGAGAATGGGGCGGGGGGTGATGGAAAGCGGAGAATGGGGCGGGGTGATGGAAGCGGGAGAATGGGGCGGGGTGATGGAAAGCGGGAGAATGGGGGCGGGGTGATGGAAAGCGGAGAATGGGGGGGTGGGGGGGGAGGGTGGGGGGGGTGATGGAAAGCGGGAGAATGGGGCGGGGTGATGGAAAGCGGGGAGAATGGGGCGGGGTGATGGAAAGCGGGAGAATGGGGCGGGGTGATGGAAAGCGGGAGAATGGGGCGGGTGGTGGGGAGGGGGGGAATGGGGGGGGGGGATGGAAAGGGGGGGGGGGGGGGGGGGGGGGGGGGGGGGGGGGGGGGGGACGGGGGGGGGTGATGGAAAGCGGGGTGGGGGGTGATGGAAAGCGGGAGAATGGGGCGGGGTGATGGAAAGCGGGAGAATGGGGCGGGGTGATGGAAGCGGGAGAATGGGGGCGGGGTGATGGAAAGCGGGAGAATGGGGCGGGGTGATGGAAGGAGGGAGAATGGGGCGGGGTGATGGAAAGCGGGAGAATGGGGCGTGGTGATGGAAAGCGGGAGAATGGGGCGGGTGATGGAAAGCGGGAGAATGGGGCGGGGTGATGGAAAGCGGAGAATGGGGCGGGGTGATGGAAAGCGGGAGAATGGGGCGGGGTGATGGAAGGAGGGAGAATGGGGCGGGGGGTGGGGGAGGGGCGGATGGAAGGAGGGAGAATGGGGCGGGTGATGGAAGCGGGAGAATGGGGCGGGGTGATGGAAAGCGGGAGAATGGGGCGGGGTGATGGAAAGCGGGAGAATGGGGCGGGGTGATGGAAAGAGGGAGAATGGGGCGGGTGATGGAAGGAGGGAGAATGGGGCGGGGTGATGGAAGGAGGGAGAATGGGGCGGGGTGATGGAAAGCGGGGAGAATGGGGCGGGGTGATGGAAAGCGGGAGAATGGGGCGGGGTGATGGAAAGCGGGAGAATGGGGCGGGGTGATGGAAAGCGGGAGAATGGGGCGGGGTGATGGAAAGCGGGAGAATGGGGCGGGGTGATGGAAGGAGGGAGAATGGGGCGGGGTGATGGAAAGCGAGAAGAATGGGGCGGGGTGATGGAAAGCGGGAGAATGGGGCGGGTGATGGAAAGCGGGAGAATGGGGCGGGGTGATGGAAAGCGGGAGAATGGGGCGGGGTGATGGAAAGCGGGAGAATGGGGCGGGGTGATGGAAAGCGGGAGAATGGGGGGCGGGGTGATGGAAAGAGGGAGAATGGGGCGGGGTGATGGAAAGCGGGAGAATGGGGCGGGGTGATGGAAAGCGGGAGAATGGGGCGGGGTGATGGAAAGCGGGAGAATGGGGCGGGGTGATGGAAAGCGGGAGAATGGGGCGGGTGATGGAAAGCGGGAGAATGGGCGGGGTGATGGAAAGCGGGAGAATGGGGCGGGGTGATGGAAAGCGGGAGAATGGGGCGGGGTGATGGAAAGCGGGAGAATGGGGCGGGGTGATGGAAAGCGGGAGAATGGGGCGGGGTGATGGAAAGCGGGAGAATGGGGCGGGTGATGGAAAGCGGGAGAATGGGGCGGGGTGATGGAAAGCGGAGAGAATGGGGCGGGGTGATGGAAAGCGGGAGAATGGGGCGGGGTGATGGAAAGCGGGAGAATGGGGCGGGGGGTGATGGAAAGCGGGAGAATGGGGCGGGGTGATGGAAAGCGGGAGAATGGGGGCGGGGTGATGGAAGGAGGGAGAATGGGGCGGGGTGATGGAAAGAAGCGGGAGAATGGGGCGGGGTGATGGAAAGCGGGAGAATGGGGCGGGGTGATGGAAAGCGGGAGAATGGGGCGGGGTGATGAAAGCGGGAGAATGGGCGGGGTGATGGAAAGCGGGAGAATGGGGCGGGGTGATGGAAAGCGGGAGAATGGGGCGGGGTGATGGAAAGCGGGAGAATGGGCGGGGTGATGGAAGGCGGAGAATGGGGCGGGGTGATGGAAAGCGGGAGAATGGGGCGGGGTGATGGAAAGCGGGAGAATGGGGGCGGGGTGATGGAAAGCGGGAGAATGGGGCGGGGTGATGGAAAGGGGGAGAATGGGGCGGGGTGATGGAAAGCGGGAGAATGGGGCGGGTGATGGAAAGCGGGAGAATGGGGCGGGGTGATGGAAGCGGGAGAATGGGGCGGGGTGATGGAAAGCGGGAGAATGGGGCGGGGTGATGGAAAGCGGGAGAATGGGGGGGGGTGATGGAAAGCGGGAGAATGGGCGGGGTGATGGAAAGGAGGGAGAATGGGGCGGGGTGATGGAAGGAGGGAGAATGGGGCGGGGTGATGGAAAGCGGGAGAATGGGGCGGGGTGATGGAAAGCGGGAGAATGGGGCGGGGTGATGGAAAGCGGGGAGAATGGGGCGGGGTGATGGAAAGCGGGAGAATGGGGCGGGGTGATGGAAAGCGGGAGAATGGGGCGGGGTGATGGAAAGCGGGAGAATGGGGCGGGGTGATGGAAAGCGGGAGAATGGGGCGGGGTGATGGAACGGGAGAATGGGGCGGGGTGATGGAAAGCGGGAGAATGGGGCGGGTGATGGAAAGCGGGAGAATGGGGCGGGTGATGGAAGGAGGGAGAATGGGGCGGGGTGATGGAAAGCGGGAGAATGGGGCGGGGTGATGGAAAGCGGGAGAATGGGGCGGGGTGATGGAAAGCGGGAGAATGGGGCGGGGTGATGGAAAGCGGGAGAATGGGGCGGGGTGATGGAAAGCGGGAGAATGGGGCGGGGTGATGGAAAGCGGGAGAATGGGGCGGGGTGATGGAAAGCGGGAGAATGGGGCGGGGTGATGGAAAGCGGGAGAATGGGGCGGGGTGATGGAAAGCGGGAGAATGGGGCGGGGTGATGGAAAGCGGGAGAATGGGGGCGGGTGATGGAAAGCGGGAGAATGGGGCGGGGTGATGGAAAGCGGGAGAATGGGGCGGGTGATGGAAAGCGGGAGAATGGGGCGGGGTGATGGAAAGCGGGAGAATGGGGCGGGGTGATGGAAACGGGAGAATGGGGCGGGGTGATGGAAGCGGGAGAATGGGGCGGGGTGATGGAAGGCGGGAGAATGGGGCGGGGTGATGGAAAGCGGGAGAATGGGGCGGGGTGATGGAAAGCGGGAGAATGGGGCGGGGTGATGGAAAGCGGGAGAATGGGGCGGGTGATGGAAAGCGGGAGAATGGGGCGGGGTGATGGAAAGCGGGAGAATGGGGCGGGGTGATGGAAAGCGGGAGAATGGGGGCGGGGTGATGGAAAGCGGGAGAATGGGGCGGGGTGATGGAAAGCGGGAGAATGGGGCGGGGTGATGGAAAGCGGGAGAATGGGGCGGGGTGATGGAAAGCGGGAGAATGGGGCGGGGTGATGGAAAGCGGGAGAATGGGGCGGGGTGATGGAAAGCGGGAGAATGGGGCGGGGTGATGGAAAGCGGGAGAATGGGGCGGGGTGATGGAAGCGGGAGAATGGGGCGGGGTGATGGAAAGCGGGAGAATGGGGCGGGGTGATGGAAAGCGGGAATGGGGCGGGGATGGAAAGCGGGAGAATGGGGCGGGTGATGGAAAGCGGAGAGAATGGGGCGGGGTGATGGAAAGCGGGAGAATGGGGCGGGGTGATGGAAAGCGGGAGAATGGGGCGGGGTGATGGAAAGCGGGAGAATGGGGGGGGGTGATGGAAAGCGGGAGAATGGGGCGGGTGATGGAAAGCGGGAGAATGGGGCGGGGTGATGGAAAGCGGGAGAATGGGGCGGGGTGATGAAAGCGGGAGAATGGGGCGGGGTGATGGAAAGCGGGAGAATGGGCGGGGTGATGGAAAGCGGGAGAATGGGGCGGGGTGATGGAAGCGGGAGAATGGGGCGGGGTGATGGAAAGAGGGAGAATGGGGCGGGGTGATGGAAGCGGGAGAATGGGGCGGGGTGATGGAAGGAGGGAGAATGGGGCGGGGTGATGTGGAAAGCGGGAGAATGGGGCGGGGTGATGGAAAGCGGAGAATGGGGCGGGTGATGGAAAGCGGGAGAATGGGGCGGGGTGATGGAAAGCGGGAGAATGGGCGGGGTGATGGAAAGCGGGAGAATGGGGCGGGGTGATGGAAGCGGGAGAATGGGGCGGGGTGATGGAAAGCGGGAGAATGGGGCGGGGTGATGGAAAGCGGAGAATGGGGCGGGGTGATGGAAAGGAGGAGAATGGGGCGGGGTGATGGAAAGCGGGAGAATGGGGCGGGGGGGTGATGGAAAGCGGGAGAATGGGGCGGGGTGATGGAAAGCGGGAGAATGGGGCGGGGTGATGGAAAGCGGGAGAATGGGGCGGGGTGATGGAAAGCGGGAGAATGGGGCGGGGTGATGGAAAGCGGGAGAATGGGGCGGGGTGATGGAAAGCGGGAGAATGGGGCGGGGTGATGGAAAGCGGGAGAATGGGGCGGGGTGATGGAAAGCGGGAGAATGGGGGGGGGTGATGGAAAGCGGGAGAATGGGGCGGGGTGATGGAAAGCGGGAGAATGGGGCGGGGTGATGGAAAGCGGGAGAATGGGGCGGGGTGATGGAAAGCGGGAGAATGGGGCGGGGTGATGGAAAGCGGGAGAATGGGGCGGGGTGATGGAAAGCGGGAGAATGGGGCGGGGTGATGGAAAGGGGAGAATGGGGCGGGTGATGGAAAGCGGGAGAATGGGGCGGGGTGATGGAAAGCGGGAGAATGGGGCGGGTGATGGAAAGCGGGAGAATGGGGCGGGTGATGGAAAGCGGGAGAATGGGGCGGGGTGATGGAAAGCGGGAGAATGGGGCGGGGTGATGGAAAGCGGAGAATGGGGCGGGGTGATGGAAAGCGGGAGAATGGGGCGGGGTGATGGAAAGCGGGAGAATGGGGCGGGGTGATGGAAAGCGGAGAATGGGGCGGGGTGATGGAAAGCGGGAGAATGGGGCGGGTGATGGAAAGCGGGAGAATGGGGCGGGGTGATGGAAAGCGGGAGAATGGGGCGGGGTGATGGAAAGCGGGAGAATGGGGCGGGGTGATGGAAAGCGGGAGAATGGGGCGGGGTGATGGAAAGCGGGAGAATGGGGCGGGGTGATGGAAAGCGGGAGAATGGGGCGGGGTGATGGAAAGCGGGAGAATGGGGCGGGGTGATGGAAAGCGGGAGAATGGGGCGGGGTGATGGAAGCGGGAGAATGGGCGGGGTGATGGAAAGCGGGAGAATGGGGCGGGGTGATGGAAAGCGGAGGAATGGGGGCGGGGTGATGGAAAGCGGGAGAATGGGGCGGGGTGATGGAAAGGGGGAGAATGGGGCGGGGTGATGGAAGGAGGGAGAATGGGGCGGGGTGATGGAAAGCGGGAGAATGGGCGGGGTGATGGAAAGCGGGAGAATGGGGCGGGGTGATGGAAAGCGGGAGAATGGGGCGGGGTGATGGAAAGCGGGAGAATGGGGCGGGGTGATGGAAAGCGGGAGAAATGGGGCGGGGTGATGGAAAGCGGGAGAATGGGGCGGGGTGATGGAAAGCGGGAGAATGGGGCGGGGTGATGGAAAGCGGGAGAATGGGGCGGGGTGATGGAAAGCGGGAGAATGGGCGGGGTGATGGAAAGCGGGAGAATGGGGCGGGGTGATGGAAAGCGGGAGAATGGGGCGGGTGATGGAAAGCGGGAGAATGGGCGGGGTGATGGAAGGAGGAGAATGGGGCGGGGTGATGGAAAGCGGGAGAATGGGGGCGGGTGATGGAAAGCGGGAGAATGGGGCGGGGTGATGGAAAGCGGGAGAATGGGGCGGGGTGATGGAAAGCGGGAGAATGGGGCGGGGTGATGGAAAGAGGGAAATGGGGCGGGGTGATGGAAAGCGGGAGAATGGGGCGGGGTGATGGAAAGCGGGAGAATGGGGCGGGGTGATGGAAAGCGGGAGAATGGGGCGGGGTGATGGAAAGCGGGAGAATGGGGCGGGGTGATGGAAAGCGGGAGAATGGGGCGGGGTGATGGAAAGCGGGAGAATGGGGCGGGGTGATGGAAAGCGGGAGAATGGGGCGGGGTGATGGAAAGCGGGAGAATGGGGCGGGGTGATGGAAAGCGGGAGAATGGGGCGGGGTGATGGAAAGCGGGAGAATGGGGCGGGGTGATGGAAAGCGGGAGAATGGGGCGGGGTGATGGAAAGCGGGAGAATGGGGCGGGGTGATGGAAAGCGGGAGAATGGGGCGGGGTGATGGAAAGCGGGAGAATGGGGCGGGGTGATGGAAAGCGGGAGAATGGGGCGGGGTGATGGAAGGAGGGAGAATGGGGCGGGGTGATGGAAAGCGGGAGAATGGGGCGGGGTGATGGAAAGCGGGAGAATGGGGCGGGGTTGATGAAAGCGGGAGAATGGGGCGGGGTGATGGAAGAGCGGGAATGGGGCGGGTGATGGAAAGCGGGAGAATGGGGCGGGGTGATGGAAAGCGGGAGAATGGGGCGGGGTGATGGAAAGCGGGAGAATGGGGCGGGGTGATGGAAAGCGGGGAGAATGGGGCGGGTGTGATGGAAGCGGGAGAATGGGGCGGGGTGATGGAAAGCGGGAGAATGGGGCGGGGTGATGGAAAGCGGAGAATGGGGCGGGGTGATGGAAAGCGGGAGAATGGGGCGGGGTGATGGAAAGCGGGAGAATGGGGCGGGGTGATGGAAAGCGGGAGAATGGGGCGGGGTGATGGAAAGCGGGAGAATGGGGCGGGTGATGGAAAGCGGGAGAATGGGGCGGGGTGATGGAAAGCGGGAGAATGGGGCGGGGTGATGGAAAGCGGGAGAATGGGGCGGGTGATGGAAAGCGGGAGAATGGGGCGGTGATGGGGGGGGGAGGGGGCGGGTGTGAAAGCGGGAGAATGGGGCGGGGTGATGGAAAGCGGGAGAATGGGGCGGGGTGATGGAAGCGGGAGAATGGGGCGGGGTGATGGAAAGCGGAGAATGGGGCGGGGTGATGGAAAGCGGGAGAATGGGGCGGGGTGTGGATGGAAAGCGGGAGAATGGGGCGGGGTGATGGAAGCGGGAGAATGGGGCGGGGTGATGGAAAGCGGGAGAATGGGGCGGGGTGATGGAAAGCGGGAGAATGGGGCGGGGTGATGGAAAGCGGGAGAATGGGGCGGGTGTGATGGAAAGCGGGAGAATGGGGCGGGGTGATGGAAAGCGGAGAATGGGGCGGGGTGATGGAAAGCGGGAGAATGGGGCGGGTGATGGAAAGCGGGAGAATGGGGCGGGGTGATGGAAAGCGGGAGAATGGCGGGGTGATGGAAAGCGGGAGAATGGGGCGGGGTGATGGAAAGCGGGAGAATGGGCGGGGTGATGGAAAGCGGGAGAATGGGGCGGGGTGATGGAAAGCGGGAGAATGGGGCGGGGTGATGGAAGGCGGGAGAATGGGGCGGGGTGATGGAAAGCGGGAGAATGGGGCGGGGTGATGGAAGCGGGAGAATGGGGCGGGGTGATGGAAAGCGGGAGAATGGGGCGGGGTGATGGAAAGCGGGAGAATGGGGCGGGGTGATGGAAAGCGGGAGAATGGGGCGGGGTGATGGAAAGCGGGAGAATGGGGCGGGGTGATGGAAGCGGGAGAATGGGGCGGGTGATGGAAAGCGGGAGAATGGGCGGGGTGATGGAAAGCGGGAGAATGGGGCGGGGTGATGGAAAGCGGGAGAATGGGGCGGGTGATGGAAAGCGAGAATGGGGCGGGGTGATGGAAAGCGGGAGAATGGGGCGGGGTGATGGAAAGCGGGAGAATGGGGCGGGTGATGGAAAGGGAGAATGGGGCGGGGTGATGGAAGCGGGGAATGGGGCAGGGTGCGGGATGGAAAGCGGGAGAATGGGGCGGGGTGATGGAAAGCGGGAGAATGGGGCGGGGTGATGGAAAGCGGGAGAATGGGGCGGGGTGATGGAAAGCGGGGAGAATGGGGCGGGGTGATGGAAAGCGGGAGAATGGGGGCGGGGTGATGGAAGCGGGAGAATGGGGCGGGGTGATGGAAAGCGGGAGAATGGGGCGGGGGTGATGGAAAGCGGGAGAATGGGGCGGGGTGATGGAAAGCGGGAGAATGGGGCGGTGTGATGGAAAGGAGAAATGGGGCGGGGTGATGGAAAGCGGGAGAATGGGGCGGGGTGATGGAAAGCGGGAGAATGGGGCGGGGGTGATGGAAAGCGGGAGAATGGGGCGGGGTGATGGAAAGCGGGAGAATGGGGCGGGGTGATGGAAAGCGGGAGAATGGGGCGGGGTGATGGAAAGCGGGAGAATGGGGCGGGGTGATGGAAAGCGGGAGAATGGGGGGGGGGTGATGGAAAGCGGGAGAATGGGGCGGGGTGATGGAAAGCGGGAGAATGGGGCGGGGTGATGGAAAGCGGGAGAATGGGGCGGGTGATGGAAAGCGGGAGAATGGGGCGGGGTGATGGAAGGAGGGAGAATGGGGGCGGGGTGATGGAAGGCGGGAGAATGGGGCGGGGTGATGGAAAGCGGGAGAATGGGGCGGGGTGATGGAAAGAGGGAGAATGGGGCGGGGTGATGGAAAGCGGGAGAATGGGGCGGGGTGATGGAAAGCGGGAGAATGGGGCGGGGTGATGGAGCGGGAGAATGGGGCGGGGTGATGGAAAGCGGGAGAATGGGGCGGGGTGATGGAAAGGGCGGGAGAATGGGGCGGGGTGATGGAAAGCGGGAGAATGGGGCGGGGTGATGGAAAGCGGGAGAATGGGGCGGGGTGATGGAAAGCGGGAGAATGGGGCGGGGTGATGGAAGGAGGAGAATGGGGCGGGGTGATGGAAGGAGGGAGAATGGGGCGGGGTGATGGAAAGCGGGAGAATGGGGCGGGGTGATGGAAAGCGGGAGAATGGGGCGGGGTGATGGAAAGCGGGAGAATGGGGCGGGGTGATGGAAAGCGGAGAATGGGGCGGGGTGATGGAAAGCGGGAGAAATGGGGCGGGGTGATGGAAAGCGGGAGAATGGGGCGGGGTGATGGAAAGCGGGAGAATGGGGCGGGGTGATGGAAAGCGGGAGAATGGGGCGGTGATGGTGAAAGCGGGAGAATGGGGCGGGGTGATGGAAAGCGGGAGAATGGGGCGGGGTTGGAAAAAATGGAAGTGGGGGGGGAGAATGAAAGGGTGCGGTATGATGGAAGGAGGGTGAGGGAGATGGGGGCGGAGTGAGGGATATGATGGAAAGGCGGGAGAAAGAGGGCGGGGTGATGGAAGGAGGGAGAATGGGGCGGGTGATGGAAAGCGGGAGAATGGGGCGGGGTGATGGAAAGCGGGAGAATGGGCGGGGTGATGGAAAGCGGGAGAATGGGGCGGGGTGATGGAAAGCGGGAATGGGGGGGCGGGGTGATGGAAAGCGGAGAATGGGGCGGGGTGATGGAAAGCGGGAGAATGGGGCGGGGTGATGGAAAGCGGGAGAATGGGCGGGGTGATGGAAGGCGGGAGAATGGGGCGGGGTGATGGAAAGCGGGAGAATGGGGCGGGGTGATGGAAAGCGGGAGAATGGGGCGGGTGATGGAAAGCGGGAGAATGGGGCGGGGTGATGGAAAGCGGGAGAATGGGGCGGGGTGATGGAAAGCGGGAGAATGGGGCGGGGTGATGGAAAGCGGAGAATGGGCGGGGTGATGGAAAGCGGGAGAATGGGGCGGGGTGATGGAAAGCGGGAGAATGGGGCGGGGTGATGGAAAGGGGAGAATGGGGCGGGGTGATGGAAAGCGGGAGAATGGGGCGGGGTGATGGAAAGCGGGAGAATGGGGCGGGGTGATGGAAAAGCGGGAGAATGGGGCGGGGTGATGGAAAGCGGGAGAATGGGGCGGGGTGATGGAAAGCGGGAGAATGGGGCGGGGTGATGGAAGGAGGGAGATGGGGCGGGGTGATGGAAAGCGGGAGAATGGGGCGGGGTGATGGAAAGCGGGAGAATGGGGCGGGGTGATGGAAAGCGGGAGAATGGGGCGGGGTGATGGAAAGCGGGAGAATGGGCGGGGTGATGGAAGGAGGGAGAATGGGGCGGGGTGATGGAAAGAGGGAGAATGGGGCGGGGTGATGGAAAGCGGGAGAATGGGGCGGGTGATGGAAAGCGGGAGAATGGGGCGGGGTGATGGAAAGCGGGAGAATGGGGCGGGGTGATGGAAAGCGGAGAATGGGGCGGGGTGATGGAAAGCGGGAGAATGGGGCGGGGTGATGGAAAGAGGGAGAATGGGGCGGGGTGATGGAAAGCGGGAGAATGGGGCGGGGTGATGGAAAGGGGAGAATGGGGCGGGGTGATGGAAAGGAGGGAGAATGGGGCGGGGTGATGGAAAGCGGGAGAATGGGCGGGGTGATGGAAAGCGGGAGAATGGGGCGGGGTGATGGAAAGCGGGAGAATGGGGCGGGGTGATGGAAAGCGGGAGAATGGGGCGGGGTGATGATGGAAAGCAGGAGAATGGGCGGGTGATGGAAGGCGGGAGAATGGGGCGGGGTGATGGAAAGCGGAGAATGGGGCGGGTGATGGAAAGCGGGAGAATGGGGCGGGGTGATGGAAAGCGGAGGAGAATGGGGCGGGGTGATGGAAAGCGGGAGAATGGGGCGGGGTGATGGAAAGCGGGAGAATGGGGCGGGTGATGGAAAGCGGGAGAATGGGCGGGGTGATGGAAGGAGGGAGAATGGGGCGGGGTGATGGAAAGCAGGAGAATGGGGCGGGGTGATGGAAAGCGGGAGAATGGGGCGGGGTGATGGAAAAAGCGGGAGAATGGGGCGGGGTGATGGAAAGCGGGAGAATGGGGCGGGGTGATGGAAAGCGGGAGAATGGGGCGGGGTGATGGAAAGCGGAGAATGGGGCGGGGTGATGGAAAGCGGGAGAATGGGGCGGGGTGATGGAAAGCGGGAGAATGGGGCGGGGTGATGGAAAGCGGGAGAATGGGGGCGGGTGATGGAAAGCGGGAGAATGGGGCGGGGTGATGGAAAGCGGGAGAATGGGGCGGGGTGATGGAAAGCGGGAGAATGGGGCGGGGTGATGGAAAGCGGGAGAATGGGCGGGGTGATGGAAGCGGGAGAATGGGCGGGGTGATGGAAAGGGGAGAATGGGGCGGGGTGATGGAAAGCGGGAGAATGGGGCGGGGTGATGGAAAGCGGAGAATGGGGCGGGGTGATGGAAAGCGGGAGAATGGGGCGGGGTGATGGAAAGCGGGAGAATGGGGCGGGGTGATGGAAAGCGGAGAATGGGGCGGGGTGATGGAAAGCGGGAGAATGGGGCGGGGTGATGGAAGCGGGAGAATGGGGCGGGGTGATGGAAAGCGGGAGAATGGGGCGGGGTGATGGAAAGCGGGAGAATGGGGCGGGGTGATGGAAGGCGGGAGAATGGGGCGGGGTGATGGAAAGCGGGAGAATGGGGCGGGGTGATGGAAAGCGGGAGAATGGGGCGGGGTGATGGAAAGCGGGAGAATGGGGCGGGGTGATGGAAAGCGGAGAATGGGGGGGGTGATGGAAAGCGGGAGAATGGGGCGGGGTGATGGAAAGCGGGAGAATGGGGCGGGGTGATGGAAAGCGGGAGAATGGGGCGGGGTGATGGAAAGCGGGAGAATGGGGCGGGGTGATGGAAAGCGGGAGAATGGGGCGGGGTGATGGAAAGCGGGAGAATGGGGCGGGGTGATGGAAGGCGGGAGAATGGGGCGGGGTGATGGAAAGAGGGAGAATGGGGCGGGGTGATGGAAAGCGGGAGAATGGGGCGGGGTGATGGAAAGCGGGAGAATGGGCGGGGTGATGGAAAGCGGGAGAATGGGGCGGGGTGATGGAAAGCGGGAGAATGGGGGGTGGTGATGAAAGCGGGAGAATGGGGCGGGGTGATGGAAAGCGGGAGAATGGGGCGGGGTGATGGAAAGCGGGAGAATGGGGCGGGGTGATGGAAAGCGGGAGAATGGGGCGGGGTGATGGAAAGCGGGAGAATGGGGCGGGGTGATGGAAAGCGGGAGAATGGGGCGGGGTGATGGAAGCGGGAGAATGGGGCGGGGTGATGGAAAGCGGGAGAATGGGGCGGGGGTGATGGAAAGCGGGAGAATGGGGCGGGGTGATGGAAAGCGGGAGAATGGGGCGGGGTGATGGAAAGCGGGAGAATGGGGGGGGTGATGGAAAGCGGGAGAATGGGGCGGGGTGATGGAAAGCGGGAGAATGGGGCGGGGTGATGGAAAGCGGGAGAATGGGGCGGGTGATGGAAAGCGGGAGAATGGGGCGGGTGATGGAAGCGGGAGAATGGGGCGGGTGATGGAAAGCGGGAGAATGGGGCGGGGTGATGGAAAGCGGAGAATGGGGCGGGGTGATGGAAAGCGGGAGAATGGGGCGGGGTGATGGAAAGCGGGAGAATGGGGCGGGGTGATGGAAGCGGGAAATGGGGCGGGTGATGGAAGGAGGGAGAATGGGCGGGGTGATGGAAAGCGGGAGAATGGGGCGGGTGGATGGAAAGCGGGAGAATGGGGCGGGGTGATGGAAAGCGGGAGAATGGGGCGGGGTGATGGAAAGCGGAGAATGGGGGGTGATGGAAAGCGGGAGAATGGGCGGGGTGATGGAAAGAGGAGAATGGGGCGGGGTGATGAAAGCGGGAGAATGGGGCGGGGTGATGGAAAGCGGGAGAATGGGGCGGGGTGATGGAAAGCGGGAGAATGGGGCGGGGTGATGGAAAGCGGAGAATGGGGCGGGGTGATGGAGGAGCGGAGAATGGGGCGGGGTGATGGAAAGCGGGAGAATGGGCGGGGTGATGGAAAGCGGGAGAATGGGGCGGGGTGATGGAAAGCGGGAGAATGGGGCGGGGTGATGGAAAGCGGGAGAATGGGGCGGGGTGATGGAAAGCGGGAGAATGGGGCGGGTGATGGAAAGCGGGAGAATGGGGCGGGGTGATGGAAAGCGGGAGAATGGGGCGGGGTGATGGAAAGCGGGAGAATGGGGCGGGGTGATGGAAAGCGGGAGAATGGGGCGGGTGATGGAAAGCGGGAGAATGGGGCGGGGTGATGGAAAGCGGGAGAATGGGGCGGGTGATGGAAAGCGGGAGAATGGGGCGGGGTGATGGAAAGAGGGAGAATGGGGCGGGGTGATGGAAAGCGGGAGAATGGGGCGGGGTGATGGAAGGAGGGAGAATGGGGCGGGGTGATGGAAAGCGGGAGAATGGGGCGGGGTGATGGAAAGCGGGAGAATGGGGCGGGGTGATGGAAAGCGGGAGAATGGGGCGGGGTGATGGAAAGCGGAGAATGGGGCGGGGTGATGGAAAGCGGGAGAATGGGGCGGGGTGATGGAAAGCGGGAGAATGGGGCGGGTGATGGAAAGAGGGAGAATGGGGCGGGGTGATGGAAAGCGGGAGAATGGGGCGGGGTGATGGAAAGCGGGGAGAATGGGGCGGGGTGATGGAAAGCGGGAGAATGGGGCGGGGTGATGGAAAGCGGAGAATGGGGCGGGGTGATGAAAGCGGGAGAATGGGGCGGGGTGATGGAAAGCGGGAGAATGGGGCGGGTGATGGAAAGCGGGAGAATGGGGCGGGGTGATGGAAAGCGGGAGAATGGGGCGGGGTGATGGAAAGCGGGAGAATGGGGCGGGGTGATGGAAAGCGGGAGAATGGGCGGGGTGATGGAAAGCGGGAGAATGGGGCGGGGTGATGGAAAGCGGGAGAATGGGGCGGGGTGATGGAAAGCGGGAGAATGGGGCGGGGTGATGGAAAGCGGGAGAATGGGGCGGGGTGATGGAAAGCGGGAGAATGGGGCGGGGTGATGGAAAGAGGGAGAATGGGGGGGGTGATGGAAAGGCGGGAGAATGGGGCGGGGTGATGGAAAGCGGGAGAATGGGGCGGGGTGATGGAAAGCGGGAGAATGGGGCGGGGTGATGGAAAGCGGGAGAATGGGGCGGGGTGATGGAAAGGGGAGAATGGGGCGGGGTGATGGAAAGCGGGAGAATGGGGCGGGTGTGATGGAAAGCGGGAGAATGGGGCGGGGTGATGGAAAGCGGGAGAATGGGGGCGGGGTGATGGAAAGCGGGAGAATGGGGCGGGGTGATGGAAAGCGGGAGAATGGGGCGGGGTGATGGAAAGCGGGAGAATGGGGCGGGGTGATGGAAAGAGGGAGAATGGGGCGGGGTGATGGAAAGCGGGAGAATGGGCGGGGTGATGGAAAGCGGGAGAATGGGCGGGGTGATGGAAAGCGGGAGAATGGGGCGGGGTGATGGAAAGCGGGAGAGATGGGGCGGGGTGATGGAAAGCGGGAGAATGGGCGGGGTGATGGAAAGCGGGAGAATGGGGCGGGGTGATGGAAAGCAGGAGAATGGGCGGGGTGATGAAGGAGGGAGAATGGGGCGGGGTGATGGAAAGCGGGAGAATGGGGCGGGGTGATGGAAAGCGGGAGAATGGGGCGGGGATGGAAAGCGGGAGAATGGGGCGGGGTGATGGAAAGCGGGAGAATGGGCGGGGTGATGGAAAGCGGGAGAATGGGCGGGGTGATGGAAAGCGGGAGAATGGGGCGGGGTGATGGAAAGGAGGGAGAATGGGGCGGGGTGATGGAAAGCGGGAGAATGGGGCGGGGTGATGGAAAGCGGGAGAATGGGGCGGGGTGATGAAAGCGGGAGAATGGGGCGGGGTGATGGAAAGCGGGAGAATGGGGCGGGGTGATGGAAAGCGGGAGAATGGGGCGGGGTGATGGAAAGCGGGAGAATGGGGCGGGGTGATGGAAAGCGGGAGAATGGGCGGGGTGATGGAAAGCGGGAGAATGGGGCGGGGTGATGGAAAGCGGGAGAATGGGCGGGGTGATGGAAAGCGGGAGAATGGGGCGGGGTGATGGAAAGCGGGAGAATGGGGCGGGGTGATGGAAGGAGGGAGAATGGGGCGGGGTGATGGAAAGCGGGAGAATGGGGCGGGGTGATGGAAAGCGGGAGAATGGGGCGGGTGATGGAAAGCGGGAGAATGGGCGGGGTGATGGAAAGCGGGAGAATGGGGCGGGGTGATGGAAAGCGGGAGAATGGGCGGGGTGATGGAAAGCGGGAGAATGGGGCGGGGTGATGGAAAGCGGGAGAATGGGCGGGGGTGATGGAAAGCGGGAGAATGGGGCGGGGTGATGGAAAGCGGGAGAATGGGGCGGGGTGATGGAAAGCGGGAGAATGGGCGGGGTGATGGAAGGGAGGGAGAATGGGGGCGGGGTGATGGAAGCGGGAGAATGGGGCGGGGTGATGGAAAGCGGGAGAATGGGGCGGGGTGATGGAAAGCGGAGAATGGGGCGGGGTGATGGAAAGCGGAGAATGGGGCGGGGTGATGGAAAGCGGAGAATGGGGCGGGGTGATGGAAAGCGGGAGAATGGGGCGGGGTGATGGAAAGCGGGAGAATGGGCGGGGTGATGGAAAGCGGGAGAATGGGGCGGGGTGATGGAAAGCGGGAGAATGGGGCGGGGTGATGGAAAGCGGAGAATGGGGCGGGGTGATGGAAAGCGGGAGAATGGGGCGGGGTGATGAAAGCGGGAGAATGGGGCGGGGTGATGGAAAGCGGGAGAATGGGGCGGGGTGATGGAAGCGGGAGAATGGGGCGGGGTGATGGAAGGCGGGAGAATGGGGCGGGGTGATGGAAGCAGGGAGAATGGGGCGGGGTGATGGAAAGCGGGAGAATGGGGCGGGGTGATGGAAAGCGGGGAAATGGGGCGGGGTGATGGAAAGCGGGAGAATGGGCGGGGTGATGGAAAGCGGGAGAATGGGGCGGGTGTGATGGGGGGGGAAAAAAAGCGGAGAATGGGGCGGGGGTGATGGAAAGCGGGAGAATGGGGCGGGTGATGGAAGGAGGAGAATGGGGCGGGGGGAGAATGGGGGGCGGGGTGATGGAAGGGGAGAATGGGCGGGGTGATGGAAAGCGGGAGAATGGGGCGGGGTGATGGAAAGCGGGAGAATGGGGCGTGATGGAAAGCGGGAGAATGGGGCGGGTGATGGAAAGCGGGAGAATGGGGCGGGGTGATGGAAAGCGGGAGAATGGGGCGGGGTGATGGAAAGCGGGAGAATGGGGCGGGGTGATGGAAAGCGGGAGAATGGGGCGGGGTGATGGAAAGCGGGAGAATGGGCGGGGTGATGGAAGGAGGGAGAATGGGGCGGGGTGATGGAGGAGGGAGAATGGGGCGGGGTGATGGAAAGCGGGAGAATGGGGCGGGGTGATGGAAAGCGGAGAATGGGGCGGGGTGATGGAAAGCGGGAGAATGGGGCGGGGTGATGGAAAGCGGGAGAATGGGGCGGGGTGATGGAAAGCGGGAGAATGGGGCGGGGTGATGGAAAGCGGGAGAATGGGGCGGGGTGATGGAAAGCGGAGAATGGGGCGGGGTGATGGAAAGCGGGAGAATGGGGCGGGGTGATGGAAGCGGGAGAATGGGGCGGGTTGATGGAAAGCGGGAGAATGGGGCGGGGTGATGGAAAGCGGGAGAATGGGGCGGGTGATGGAAAGCGGGAGAATGGGGCGGTGATGGAAAGCGGGAGAATGGGGCGGGGTGATGGAAAGCGGGAGAATGGGCGGGGTGATGGAAAGCGGGAAATGGGCGGGGTGATGGAAAGCGGGAGAATGGGGCGGGGTGATGGAAAGCGGGAGAATGGGGCGGGGTGATGGAAAGCGGGAGAATGGGGCGGGGTGATGGAAAGCGGGAGAATGGG